CAAACAAACAAACAAAATTACTTTTAATGTAAATGGATTAAATGCTCCAATCAAAAGATAGGGGGGCTGAATGGGTAAGAAAACAAGACCCCTACATATACTGCCTACAAGAGACTCACTTCAGATTGAAAGACATACTTGTACACAAAAAGTAAAGGGATGGAAAAAGATATTTTATGAAAATGGAAACAAACAAACAAACAAACAAACAAACAAACAAAGCTGGAGTAGCAATAGTTATACCAGTCAAAACAGACTTTGAAACAAAGACTATAACAAGAGACAAATAAGGACCTACTAATCCCACTTCAGGGTATTTATCCAAACAAACCCAAAATGCTACTTCAAGGGGACATGTGCATCCATATGTTTACTGCAGCATCATTTATGTAAGCCAAGATGAGAAGGCACCCTGGGTGTCCCTGAATGGATAAGTGATAAAGAAGAGGTGGTACATATGTACATACAGTGGAATATTACTCAGCCATAAAAAAGAAGGAAATTTTACCATCTGTGACAACATGGATGAACTATAGGTTATTGTGCTGAGTGTAATAAATCTGACAGTGAAAGACAGTCATGCGATTTCACTTATAAGTGGAATGTAAAGAACAAAATAAATAAATAAACGAAACAGAAACAAACTCACGGATACAAAAAACATTTTGATGGTTGCCAGGTGGGAGGAGAGTTGGGGGTGGGTGACAAAGGGGAAGGGACTAAAAAGTACAAATTGGTTGTTACACAGTAGTCATGGGGACGTAGGGTACAGCATAAGGAATACAGTCAATAATATTGTAATAACTAGGTATGGTGTCAGATGGGTACTAGATTTATCCGGGTGATAGATGATGGGAGGGGGCTTGGGGGCAGGGTGAAAAAGGTGAAGGGATTAAGAAACACAAATTGGTAGTTACAGAATAGTCATGGGGATGTAAAACATAAGGAATATAGTAAAAATATGGCAATGACTCTGTACACTGCCAGAGGGGTACTAGACTAGTCGGGGGGATCACTTCTTAAATTATATACATGGCTAAGCACTATGCTGTACATTTGAAACTGATATAAAATACATTGAATGTCAACTCTAATTGAAACTATTAAAGAGGGGGTAAAAGATGAATAATATTGTGATAGTGTGGTGCAGTGTCTGATGGTTGCTGGGCTTACCATGGTGATCACTTTAGCATAGGGAATATAATCAATAATGTAGTACTAACTGTATAATGTTAGGTAGGTGGGTACTGTTGAGTATTATGTGCACCTGAAACTAATATAATATTGTATGTTAGCTATATTTTAATAAAAATCTTAAATAAATAAAAAAAAAGGATGCACGGCGGAGATCTCTAGAGAACGTGGGAGGGTGCCTGGCTAAGGGCGGGGCTTCTTGTGGGCAGCTGGGCCAGGGCATACGAGGATGACTGTGTGGCCGCAGAGGAGACCTGAGTGATCATCTGGAGGAGTCTGGGGGTTGCTCCTTGTGGTCACAGACACGGACACACACGTGCCCTCTTAGGCCATGAAGACAGGTGAGGGGCACAGGTGACAGAGGCCTTGGTTCCCACCTGGGGGTAGCCTGAGCATACATCCCTTTGCAGCCCCGAGAGTGAGCCTGGGACCTGCCTGCCTCACTCCGGGGGCCCAACCTGGCCTTGCGCCCAAGATCCTTCTCTGCCGGGAGGGGCTGGCTTCCTTTAAAGTAGGGCCTTCTCTCTTCTCTCCCCTTCTTCCTCCTTCCCTCATGGTCTACCTGCCCCCCCATTCTCCTCAAACTCCCCACCCTCACCCTCAGCTTGCTCTCTAGCTGCCTGAGAAATAGGAGCCTTAGGAGGAGGACCCCCAAGGTCCGCTGGCTCTACCCACAAGAACCACCCGGGCTCCCGTCTGAGCTGCCGGCCGCCTCTCAGCAGCTCAAGGACGTGGCTCCAGCAGTTCCCGGCTCTCCTGCCTCATTAACTTGCACCTCTGCACCCATCTTAAAACCAACTCCTTTCCACCTGCTCCCCTGCCCCCCGCAGTGCCCCCGCGGTGATATGCTTGAAAGTGACATCTATACTCACCGCCTTTTCCTATTCTTAAACCCACTGCAACCTGGCTTTACCCCACCACTCTGTCCAAACAGCTTGTCTTAGTCAGCTCGGGCCGCCATAACAAAAATACCACGGCCGGGGTGGCTCAAACAACAGACGTTTATTTTCTCACAGTTCTAGAGGCTGGAAGTCCAAGATCAAGATTCCAGCTCAACCAGGTTCTGGTGAGCGATCTCTTCCTGGCTTGTTGACAGCTGCCTTCTGGTTGTGGGCTCACATGGCAGAGACAGCGAGCTTATAAGGACACTAATACTGGCTGATCAGGCCCCCCCCCCACCTCCTTATGAACTCATTTAACCTTAATTATTCCTCAGAGGCTCCACCTCCAAATACAGGCACCTGGGGCTTCAACATATGAGCTGGGAGTGGGGCACAAGTCGATTCCTAGCACAGCTCTTGTCAAGGTCACTGACCTCCACGTTGGCAAACCCAAGGGTCTATTCTTAGGCCTGCCCTGTGGACCTCTGGGGGGCAGTGAATACGACCAACCACCCTCTCTCCTCCTTGAAATTCGGTCTTTGCTGGGCCTGCTCCTCCTCCTCCTCACAGTGGTTCCTTGTTCTTTGCTGGTCCTTCTCCATTTTCCCAACCTGTCCATCCTGTCATGTCCGGGAACTCAGCGCTGATATTTTCCCTTTCTGTCTATTCTCATCCTGAGATGGCCCCAGCGCAGCCCATACCTTTCGATCCCCATTCACTGATGCCTCCCACACTTACCTCCGTCTTGGATTATCGCCTGAGCTCTGGCCCCGCCTGGCCAGCTGCCTCCATACTTGGAGGCTTCACGGGCATCTTGTGCATGGTGTTGCCCATGTTTCACGGTCCCAAACTGCCTCAGCCAGGCAACCCTGGGCACCTTTCAGAGGTTCATCCCTCAGGCCTGGGTCTCAATCCCGGCTCTGCCAGATCATTTCCATACGACCTGGCCAGGAATCTTATCTGCTAAGCTTCTGCTCCCTCATCTGTTAATGAATGAATGAATGACTTCATTAATTTGGCAGGCTAGAGGAGTCGGAGGAAGGCCCGGGTGGGGAGCGAGTGAGGGAAGGAAGAGAGGCAGTCAGGGCCGGGCTGGAGGGCCCCTGGAGCCCAGAGCTTGGTTCCAGGCGAGACCTGGGGAAGCCATGGAGGGGCTTTCAAGGGCAGGGGCCTGATCCAAGCCTCACCTTTCAGAGCACACTCAGGGCTGTCAGAGAACGGAGGGCAGGGAACAAGTTAGGAGCAGGGAGAACATGGCAGTGGTCCAGCACGAGGCGCTAGGGCTGGGACCATGGTGGTGGAGGAGGTGGGGAGATTGGAGATGTGATTTGGATAAATGACAGAACTGACTAAAAGGCAGAATGGGGGGTGGGTGGGCAGGTGGAACTAAGGCAAAGGATTGAGTTTAGGAAGAGTTCCCGAATGGGGCGTGATGGGGATGACAGTGCTTCCCTGCATTTCTCAGCCTCTTTTGGGCATAAAGTGATAGAAACCCACTCTGCTTGCTCTCGGCACAACAGGGAAATGCACTGGCTCATGATGGAGAAGTCCAGGGTCCTAGCGCACCAGCAGTGACCGTGGGACCCAGTCTCTCCATCTCCCCTTTTCCTGAGTTGCCATCATTCTTAGGCAGGCCCCCCTACAAGTGCCTAATGGCCACCAGCAACCCTAGGCTGGAATCCTATCAAGACATACCCAACAGAAAGAGGCCTTTTGCTAATATTTCCATAACACAAGTTCCAGGGGTGAGGGGGCTCCTATTGGCCAAGCTTGGGCCACATGCCCAGACCCAAACCAGTCACTGAACTCAGGGGCTGTGGAGCTCAGCTCTGGTTGGCAAGACCAGGCCCACGTGTCTGTTCTTGAACCATGTGGTTGGAGAATAAGGGAGGGGGTTCTCTCAAGGGAGATGGAAACTATGAAGGGGACAGATGGAGGGCAGGCAGACAGGAGTCATCACCAGTGTCCCTGCACCGGCTGATGTACGCAGGGTTTTCCGAGGCAGGGGGTTGGCACAGAGCTGGCCTGGGAGATGGTGGCTGGTGTGGTGCCTGGACCATTATCCTTGGATGGCCTCAGCCTCCTGCCTTTCTGCTCTCGATCTGGGCAAGGCTCTCCCTGCACTTCTGCACAGGAGGGCAAGGCTGGACCCTGACCCTCCACTAAGTACCTGCCCTTTCCTGCCAGGGTCTCACATTGCAGATTCCATGATTTGTGACCATCCAGACCCCAGATACCTCTTGGCAGGTCAGTACCTGCTCTGCCCACAGCAGGCTCCTGCTCACTGTTCTCTCCGCAGACCTCATTTGCTCCCTTGCCTGACTGCCTAGCTTGGGTGGGGTCCTCAAGATTTTGGGGTACCTAAGGTCATAGCTCAGGTCTATGTTTCCTTTAGTCCTGGCGAGGTGGGGCCGCCCCACTGCTGCTCAGCGGAGCAGCTGCAGGGACTGGAGAGGCCCGCTTATGTTCTTTCTGGTCCCTGGTCTTTGCTATGCATTCTGTTGAACTCAGTCTCCAGCTTCACATTTGGCCCCAATACCTCTATGCACCCTCCCTCAGCAGCATGAGGGCTGCTGCCGTTCCAGCCTCACCTCTTAGGTTTAAGTTGAGCAGAAGAGTGAGAGCCTTTCCTTGCAGCTCCCACTCTGATTGGACCACTTCAGGTCACATGCTCATGCCTGATCCTCTGTAGCCAGTGAATGCCAGATGTTGATTGGCCAGGCCTGAGTCACACGCTCCAATCACAGATAACTTGGGGGAAGAGTTGGGAAAGGCGAATTCCCACACTGAAATCAGAGCAGGGCCTCCTAGTGCCAAAGGATGACCTTTCTTGCGTGGCCCCCATGTGCAGACAGCTGCCCACCCAGGTACCGAGCCTTAAGCCCTTTGGATCTGTGGTATTTCACTAACAACTCAGGCCATGGGTCCATTTAAAAATCATTTTATTATTAACATCGTCTTCCCGTTTAGCCAAGTGTCTGTCATGTATAAGGAATGTCAGTAAATATTCCATTTGAAGCTCCTTTGTACATATTTCCATTGTTAAATAAACTCTGAATTCACATAAAAAAGTTAAACTTAAATAACTCATATTTCCTTCTCTTGTAACAGGCATATATTGGTAAAATATAAATATTCTTGGACTCAGGCTTTGTTCTAAGTGAGGACAGTAATTCATCACATGGTACAATTATTGACAACAAAACCAAAAAATCGTCAGCTGGTGTCCTGGTGTGGACTAGTACTGAGGTGGGAGAAAGAAATTCACATTTGGTTTCTGGGCCGAGGGGGTGGGGGCAGGAGTGGTGACGAGGAGAGAACAGCTTTCTTTACAGCTTTGATAAAAATAATCTGTTCTGCCACTGAATTTTAACTTTGAATATATTTTTCTACATTTGCTGATTAATTCCATAATCATGTTACTTAAAACTCAGATGTCAACGAACAAAATATGGCACATAATCCATTTTCGACAATGTCAGTAGATTCAAAAAATGATCATTGGGTTGGCAAAAAAAACAGAAGTGCACGTGGGGAAAGTGACGGCTCGGGGTTGGTTTGGTTAGTTCACTGTGGCAGATCGCACATTCACCCGGGGCCTTGGGGTGGCTCACTCGTCCCCTCCGTGGTGTGAGCGGTGGTGAGGCTGGCGGGCGCCTGCTCAGAGCACGCGGGGGATGATGGTGAAGGGCACGGCGGGGCTGCTGGCCTCCAGCTCCAGGGCCGTCAGGAAGCACTCGGTGGCTGCTGCGTCGTTGCCCTGGGCTTGAAGGACCTCGCCCAGCCCGTTCCAGACCTCGTGGGCTGTCGAATTCACCTGCACAGCATCGCGGAGGATCTTCTCAGCCAGACTGTAGCGGCCCAGCTGATGAAGGATCAGTGCCTGCGGGCATCAGAGAGACAGACGGTCTGAAAAGCAGAGCACCGAGCACAAGAATGCAAGGCTGACCTGGGAGGAGCTTGTGCTCAGTGGGGCCACGGCCAAGGAGACCCATGGCCCCAGGGCAGTGTGTGATGCTGTGGAGGGGTCCTCCCCATAGCCCCAGCTGGGAGGGAGAGGCAGTTCAGGCAGCCTTCCTGAGCGAGGAGGAGGAGGAGGCCTCAGGTAGATAGAGGCTGCCCTCCCCTGGCCAGGGCATGGCAGAATTCAAGGCCAGCTGTACCCTCTCTGAAAGGAAAACAGAAAGAAAACATCACCCGTTTCCTTTCTTATTGACATCTAGATTTGCCCTAACAGTGTCCTGGAGTCCCTGGGTAGGAAGGTCCAGGTCCTACATTGGATCTGCGAGAGCTAAGCGTTCTGAGAGGGCGTCCAGGGACAGGGCAAGGGGGTCCCCTCTCTGAAGCTTTAGAACAGCAGAGGTGGCAGGAAGTCAGTGCTGCAATTAGGGCTTCACCTTGGCTTCTGAAGTTTGCTCCCCTCAGACTGCAAGGCCTTCCTGCCCTCCAGTGTGAACCGCTGGGTCTGAGCTGCCTTCCCAAGGTTAGCCACGGTCAAGTTCGCAGGGACCGTGGCAGAAGCCTCCCAAGCCCTACCTGTTTGCACATAAGGCTACAGCAGAGAACTACGCCCCAGCTTGTGCGGGGATTTCTCCTCACAGATCCCACTCCCCACCCGCCTAGGGGATAAGTGAGCTGGGTGCTGAGGATAGGGTTGAAAGTTCAGCTTGGACCGGGGCTTTCTGGCAGGATGAATATTCACAGTGGCAAGTGCTTTCGCAGTGTTTATGACACACCAGACACCATGCTAAGTGCTTACGTGTGTTAGTTCATTTAATTCACCTGGGGACCCCCAAGCACTTTCACCAGGGCAGGGCCAGGTCACGCATGCGCCTGGAGGCAAGGCCTGCTTTTATTGCTGCAGAGAAAGCTCACAGTGGAGGAGCACCTACGATGTGGGGGAGAGCATCCCGATGAATGCGGACTTCCTCTTCCGTTCTGGCTCCTAGAGGCTCTCTTGCCTCAGGCACAGAGCGAGCTACCACAGAGGTGGGCTAGAACCCACACCTGCTACCTCCTAGGGCCTGCCTGCAATCCATGTGGGTGGAGCCCAGGGTAGGGGTGTTAAGTAATCACATCCGTCTCCTAAGGTGGTGCTGGTCCCACTCTGGTCCCCCTTTAGAGAAAATCTGAGAGCTTGACACCCTCACTTCCCAACCTTGAAGGTCAGGCAGAAAGAATGGGAAGCCACTTGCCCAGGTTGCAATCAACAGGATGGGAAGGCTAATGAGTTCCTTCCTCCTGTCTTCTAAGGGGAGGTTATCTGCTGGAGCTCACTCTAGAACATTCCGATATACCCAACAGAGACGTGAGGGTCGGAGGGGATCTGGGCAGTGGCATGGAAAGGTTATAAAAGGAGCCTCATCTTTTTCCTAGAAGGTATGACTTTCTCGGTGCATCGAAAGTATGGAATACACACAACCTTTTTTGAGTGGCTCTATCAGGCAGGGAGACACACAGTGCATGTGGTTGGTAAATGCGTGATGGGGGACAAGCCACCTGGTAAGACAGAAAGAGGCGTCTTTGGTTAACTTGGCTGCAGGTGGAGACGACAGTTTAGGTCCCACCACCGTAGAACCAGCTCCATGCTTGTCTTCCTCGGCATGGAGTGACTTCTCCCCATCAGGCACTCCGCTCGGCACTTGTACCTGGTCCATCTCATATCACCACCACTTGAGGTTCAAGGTGACAAGGTTCAGAAAGGCCAAGTGTCTTGCCCAAGGTCACAGGGCCCATGGTGCGGAGCTGCAGGCCAGCCCAGGTCTGCCTGAAGCTACAGCCCCCATCCCTCTTCCCCTCCACGTCTTCCTACCCACTGGCTGCCTCCTGTCCTTTGTCTATGAGACAAGCCCGGACACCCTCAGGCACTAGCCCACTTACGTCTGAGCAACAGCAAATGGGCGTCTGCCCTTGCTGTGTCTCCCCTTCCACTTCTCCAACCCCTCGTCACGACTGTCGTCCTTCCCATGGTCACGACTCAGACCTTGCTGCTCTCCAGGGCGCAGCTTTTCCCTGGCCTGGTCCTGCTGTTTGGAGCATGCTGCAGACTCGCCCCAGGACTAGGAGGCCCCCTTGCCTCCCTTTGGCACCCACAGGCCAGCCTGGGATGGCTACAGGTGCCAAAGGACTAGGGGGTCTTGTTAGTCAGAAAGTGGACCCATGAGACATGGAGACACAGCAGGAGCAGGGACTTGGCCTGGGGAGACCCAGAGGTCCCCATTCTCAGCAGCACTGACCTGCCCCCACCTTGCTGGAGTGGGGACAAGGACACTAGTACTTTTGTTGGGAATTCTGTTTAGAAAACGGCAGGCCACTGGATCAGGGTATAGCTGACCATGGGGGCTTCAGGCAGGGGGCAGGTCTATTAGCTCCCCAAAACCAGCCAAAGAGCTAATCTGACCCATCACCCTGCGTTGGGCAGCTAAGAGTCTTTGTGGTTCGCTAGCGTTCTAGGGTTCTTGCGGGCTTGGAAATTTCCAGCCCATCCCTGGATGTATATGCTGAATGGAGGCACAGGCTGCATTTCTAGATGACCTTGAAGCTTCCTGAGCGATCTGTTTAGTGGAATTAATTCCTAAAGCTGGAGCTGCTCAGGGAGACATCGCAGGCTTGCCAGGGGCTGCCAGCTCAGGCCAGGCAAGGGAAAGAAAAATCGGCCTCTCCTCGCTGCCCCAGCGAGCCAAGAGCAGCTCAGAAATCAGTCACGCACGAGATCAACCAGAACACGCTCCGGCCGGGGTCTGAGTCACTGCCAGCACTGCTGGCAGGTCGGCCAGAGGTGGGCTGCGACCTGGACATGGCTGACCGTCAGCACTGACTCGACACCCATGCCCCTCTGTGCTGTGAGAGGCCTTCCCTGGCTTTGATGTGCTCTTTGGAACGAGAACCCTGACATCTCTTTCGATTCTACAGGCCTGGCTTCCTCTCTTTTCCAAAGATCAGAGCCTAACTCCTGAGGCTGGCATTTAACTGTTCTCACCACCAGCTGGAGCCCACTTTCTCCCAGGATGAACCCCTTGGTTCAGCCAGGCTGGTGTGACAGCCCAGACATATCTGCAGGCTGTAGCCCCCAGCCCCCTTCCACCTCCCCAATCTTAGTCAGTCCCGGCCTGGGGTCCCCCCCAGTGGAGCTCTAGTCCATTTGCCCAAAATCTTGACCATCTCCATTCCCCGAAGAGCCCAGACCACACTGCCCCCTTAGGCAGCGCTACCTAGAGGCACACAGCTCCACTCCCAGCATTTAGGCTGGCAGGAAACAGAGATTTCGATGATTGACATATTTTATTACCATAAAACCTGCCCTCCCCCCCATACCAAAATCCCAAACGCACTGAGTGACTGCCCAGACCTCAGCCATGTGTGGGGGATACAGGGGAGGGCAAGAAGCAGGATTGCTCTTAAAGCGTGGGGTCCAGTGAAAATCTTAATGCAACCAAACAATTGCTTATGCCAGGTGCTGGGTTGCGCCACTGGCAGGCCAGACCTCGTTTACCCCTCGCTCACCTCTATGAGTTGGTGCTGCTGCAGATAATGCTGGATAAAAAAAACCTGCCAAAGACACTGCTGTAGAAAGCAAGTGGCAGAGCTGAGATGTGCGGGCACGCAGCTGTGCTCTTAACGCTAGGCCTTCCTTCCTAGGACGGGATGCCCAAATGCCACCTTGCCCGGCCCCGGTGTTTCTGGAGCCACGGGCGTGAGGAGCCAGCCTGGGCTGGCCTCCCGCGAAGGGGGAGTCACTGAGGAGGTAACTTATTAGTCCCTTTCTTCAGACACAAATGAAGACAGCCTCCCAAGCTTAGCTTGTAATTATTATAATCAGGTGTTTTGTACATTAAGGTCTTGGTGCTGCACCAAATTGGAAATAAGGGACTAAATGAAACCCGTTATTTCAAATGAGACAAAATGGACTTGGCTAGTTTGAGGACAACGAGCCTCTTCCTCACTCGTGAGTGTGTGTGTGTGATAACTGATGCCCAAGGGCACCCGTGCAGGGGCCCCGGGCAGGCTGTCGTGCCCCGGGCCTCCTGCTGTAGCCCTGGCTCAGGCCAATAGTGGGGCTGCGGAACAAAAGACCCTTTGGGAGATTTTAGACATCCCCATGGTGCTCTGCCCACGTGCCAAGTCAGCCCTTCTGGGCTCAAGGGCATGTTACAGAGACCACTGCTTGTCCTTCTAGGGGATGGAGAGATAACGTCCCTGCAAGAAAGCATCCTTCCCAAAGCCAAGCCACCACTAAAAAGAAGTCACGTGGCTCAGTTCTGGTTGGGGTTCCAGCAAGCGATCTCTCTCTCTCTGGTGCTCTGGACATCAAACATTCGGCAGCAGGGTGGAAAGGCCCAACCCCTCGTGCTCTCCATGGCGGGCCTGGCAGCTGCTGCAGACTCCACCCCGCGGGCCCTGCTCTTGGCTTGGCTCCTGGAGCAGAGAGCAGCCAGCTGCCCTTGCTGCATCAGGGCAGCCCGGGTTTTGCAGAGGCTGCAGGGCACCACCAAGGCCAGGGTGGGAAGAAAGTGCGGTGTCAGGGGTGGGGCTGGAGCACTTCAAGAGCTTTCTTACCCATCCTGGGCTGGAAACTGCACCATCACACCACTGCAGGGGGCAGGAGCGGGAGCTTAGGGCAGTGCTGTCAGGAGGCTTCCCCCAAAATACAAATAAACTGGGGAGAACAAAGGCACAGATTCACCAGGCTCTATCAATTATTAGTGCGCAAGGGATTATAACCAACACACTGTATGTTTTACTGATTCAAAGTGCCTTCATAGCTGTGCTGAGATAGGTACTAACTGCATTAGCTCAGGTGGCTCTCCCATCTCTGCTCCCCCCACGAGGCTTTGCTGTGAGTGCCCGGAGGGCAGGGGCTGGGTGAGCTGTGGTCATCTCTGC